AAAGAGTACAGGCAAACCTCAGGGAGGTTCAGGTTGGGTTCCGGACCACAATAAAGAGACTACGCAAGAAAGTGAGTCACAAATTTTTTGGTCTCCCACTGCACGTAAAAGTTAATGTTTACACTATACTGTAGTCTATTAAGTGTGCAATAGCATGATGTCTAAAAAAATTTTTAAAACAGCATTAATTAAAAAATAATGCTGTTGCAGAAATGGCACCAACAGACTTGCTCAAGCCAGGGTTGCCACAAACCTCGAATTTGTAAAAAACGCAGTGTCTGTGAAGCCCGATAAAACGAGGTATGCCTGCACCAAAAATCAGGGTCTATTTTACAGAAAAAAAAAATGAACTCTGTTAAAAAAAAAAAAAAGAGCCAGGGTTGCTGCCAAAGAGGCACCGAGGCATGGAAGGCAGGAGGAAAGCAGGCGGACTGGCGCTCACCTTGTAGCAGCGGTACTTGTAGAGCACGACCAGGAAGATGGTCATGATGACAATGACGCTGATCATGATGAGGGTGTTGAGCACGGAGTTGAGGAAGCGCTGGCCCGCCGAAGATGTGTCCTCGGTGAAAGGTGTGTAGATGCTGAGGGAGGGGCAAGGGCTAGGTCTCTGTGCCCTGCCTGCTTGCATGCCTCACCCTCATCCAGGGAGCCTGGACCTGGGGTGCAGGTGCCCCGGGCACCCCTGCCCCTCAGCACCATGCTCTGGCTGCCCTGGCAAGCGCTGCCCACCATCCCCATGAGCTGCCCTGCCTTCCCGTCTCCTGGCTCCTGACTTTGGCCTATGACTGAGCCGACGTAGCCGCACGGAAGGGCCTGGCTGGCCTCACCAAGGCCAACTCAACCCTCCCCTGGAAGTGCTTCTCTCTGCTGACCCCAATCCCCAGCTCTGGTCCAGGGAGACCCAGCGGTTCCCTACATCCACTTCCTTATCAGCCCCATCCAGCCTAGGACGCCTCCGCCCCCGCTGCTTCCCTACCCACACCCAGCGTAACCCCGTAGCTGCACAGGCAGCTAATAAACTCAGAAGGTAATTCACTGACACCTCGCTCTGGACGTAGGGAAACAAACTGCCCGCAAAGCGCTCAAGGTCTCTTAACGCTTTTCACCTGAGCTGCTCTGAGTCCCCCAACAGACTACAAGCTTCCTGAGGGCAAGGGCTTCTTTCTCTACTCTTTTCATTAAAAAAACCATAAACAAAATTTAACAAAAACTCCCTAAAAAAAAAAAAAAGAAAGAAAAAGATGTTTAGAGAAGGTACTCGGCAGCAATTACCACAGGGAGGCTGGGGGAGGGAGCAGAGAGAGCCCTCCCATTTTCCCAGGCTGCTGCTTCTGCCTGCGTTTTCTTTATTAAAATAAACAAAATCTCCCGTGCAAGGCTGCAAGTAAGCTAAGAAATCATTTGGTCCTCCTTGGTTTACATTCATGGGGATATGAAGAGGCCCAGAGAGAAAGCAACTTGCTTGTGGTCACGCAGTGATGGGTGGTACAGCCACACCTGGGACGGAGAGCTTGCCTCCTGCAGTGAGACCCGGAGCGCTGCCCGGGCGGGTGGCAGGTGCTCTTCTAAGCCCTTTATGTAGATTAACTCACTCAATTCTCCTGGTAACCTTGTTATCAAACCCATCATACAGACGAGGAAACTGAGGCCGAGAAAGGTTAGCAATGTACCCAGGCAGGTCACACAGCCAGGAGGCAGTGGAAAGACCAGGATGTGGACTCGGGCAGCTCCTCGGCCCTGCTCTTCACTGCTGGCATGGGGCCAACACAGGCTGCACTCCCCTCCCCCAGCTCCCCCGCCCCCTCCCCGCCAAGCCCCCAACTCACAGCTGTCCATTCTTCTCCGTGTAGAAGCGCACAGACTTGATGGTGGCCACTACCACGATCATGCACAGCGTGACAGGCACAAATAGCATGATCACATGCTTTGCCCCATATTTGAGGGTCAGCTCCTCCTCCAGGCCTGGTGGCCGCCCGGGGACCCCGCTGCAGACGTAGCGGTCAGGGTCCTCCTCATGGTCCTCCTCACTCTCCTGGCCTCTCTGTGGGAAACCACGCTGTGAGGGCCACGGAATGCCCCCCCAGAGGCCTTAGCGACGTGGCGCATGGGTGTTTTGGAACCGGAAACGAGAAGTTTGAATGTTGCTTTCCAGATATAAGAACCAGTCTATGGGCTGTAGTTTAGATGTGGGAGTGGTGGAATTGCAGGACATTTGAAAAGTTTACGAGGACAATGAGAGATTTAAGTTGGCGCTGACCACAACAGATGCAGGAGGGGAGGCCACTTTGCTGTGGAACAGGACGGTCCACTTAGCTGTGGAAGAGGACGGCCTGCAGAATGGGTCTGGGGCATGTCTAAAGATCTGTCCCCTCCCTCAGTATAGGGACTCAGGATGCCACTCAGTTCTGTTCACATGGCCACACTAATTTGGCAGGCCAGGTGATAGGAGGAGGGCAGAAATTAAACTCTGTTGGTTGAAAAATCACAAACTAGAATGGTCAGCACACATGGGGACGTGGGGACTGTCTCTGATTGTGAATAAGACACTGGGAATTTGCAGAGGAAGAAATTACTTTGAACTTTTTGCACCCCGCCCCACCCCCCAAAGCAGTCATGCAAGATTTGCAGCTCCGAAGCGAAGAGGCTAACTGGGCATCAAGCATCTGGGAGGATCTGGGTTACATATAAATGAGGAGGCAGCGAAGGAGGACAGGACACCAGGCGCTGGCACACACGGATCTGCAAGAATTTGTTTTGGAATTGTGGCAATTCAGGATCATTAGCTGCTTTGTTAATTACATTAACAGCCAAGACAAAGCCAAATGAAACAAAAATCAAAAGTGGCTGTTCTTTGGTATCAGTTCTTTGCAGAGAGAATTCCATCTATATATTCATCTGAGAAAGAAAGGAACACTGTTAATGAACAGGAACTGAAATAGCTGAAATGCACAAAAACTCCAGGAGATAAAAGACAAAGCAACTAGCAAGAAACGGGCTAAGGAGTAGCTGTGCAGTGGTCTTGAGCTGGTGAGATCTCTCTCAGAGCCCAGAGGAGGATAGGAGAAGTGAGCTCAAGTTTCAGCAAAGGGAAATAAGGCTGGCTGGAAGAAAAAATTACTATAATGGGCAAAACGAAGAATGGAATTTAGGCAGATTCAAATGTTGTTTTACCCTGATGAGGAGGGAGGTGGCTTGGCTAGATGACTCTCCCAAGTATATCTTCCACTTCGTACTGTTACAATCTCCTGCCCTGCAGGCTGCAGAGGTAAAATCACAGTGCAGCCCAGCCCTCCTGCTATGGGCTGAATGTTTGTGTCCCCCAAATTCACATGCTGAAGGCTAACTCCCAATGTGACGGTGTTAGAAGGTACGGCCTTTCGGAGATGATTAGGTCACGAGGGGGGAGCCCTCATGAATGGGATTCGTGCCTTATAAAAGGGGCCCAGGGACCTGTCCGGAGGCCTTGGACTGCTGGTGGCAACCTACCAACTGGGCGGCACCCTCTCCGTTCTCCAGGCCCTGCCTGCCTTCCTGGCAGGAGCGCGGCATGGGGCTCTCGGCTGACATCAGGGACGTCCGCTCGTCACACACTTCTTCCTCGCTGTCAGAGGCCATGAATGTGAGCATGACCCTACCTCCGAAAGTGCCTGGAAAAGGAGCACAGGGGACCTCGTTCCACTCTCCTGCGAGGCAAAGGCAGCGGAGGGTGAGAGGCGGCTTTAAGACCTGCACACAGGTCCTGCCCGCAATGACCACCCAAGACGCGCTTGTCAAAGGACTGCTATAAAGCAACAGTCCCCAGGAGCCACTACTGAGGCTGCAGCAACCTCGAGAGGGACTGGCTAGAGGAGATTCAGGCCACAGGGGGCAAAACCCCCAACTAGAAATGTCAGAGTCCCCCAAACTGCCAGCACACTCACTCATTCAATCAACAAACATCTGTTCAGCACCTATCGTGTGCCAACGACACTTTTGTCGTAAAAAATTAAAAACCAACCGTCCAACGTGACAAATTATATAATCCAGGTGTTCATCAAGAGGTACAGAAGCACAAAAAAGGGACTAAAACTCAGAGATCAGGAGTGTTTTCTGGAGAAGATAACGTCATCTGACAGAGACAGATTTTCCCAGGGGGGGAGGCAGAGGGCATGAAGAATGTTCCAGCCTGAGCCCAGCACTGCTGGGGTTGGGGTAGTGATGCTGTGGAGGTGTGAAGGGTCTCTGGTGCCGAGTTCAGGAAGTGTGCTTCGTCCCCCGAGGACAGAGGTGACAGATCAGATCTCTGGTTAGAAATATCAGTCTGGCCACTGACTGAAAAAGGAGTTAAAAGAAGGAAAGGTGACCTCCCTGGAGACAATTGTGGGTAGTGAAGAGGGCCTAAGGTGGCAAGAATGGATGGGAGTAAGGAGAGAGAATCCAGAAAGGGTAGGAGGGAGACAGACAGGACCAGATGTGCGGGACAAAATGGGACAGAGTCCAGGACTAGGGCCAGACAGGGAGTAGGATGGGGGAAGTGGAAGAACAAGGTTTCAGAGGAAACACTGTGAATTTGATCCAGGAATCTGCTCAATGTAAATGGGTTAAAAGGGTGAAGATGCCTGGGAGGCAGCTGGGTGTCGGGGCCTGAGGTGGAGACGAGAGTCATGAGTTTAGAAGTGGCGGCCACGGGAGCAGTGAGCTGAGACCACGAGAGGCGAGTGTGTGTGTGTGTGTGAGTGCGTGTGCGCGTGCGCGCGTGTGCGCGTGCGCGCTGGAGAAATACAGCTGAGCGTGGGACCCACAGGAAAAAACAAGGCTGAAGGGACCATACGGGAGGCAGCCTGTCCCCCGGGACTGCTGTGCCGCAGTGGTGTGGGCAGAGCAGCACCACCGGGAAGCCGGGGCAGCCCAGAGCCCTACCAACATCCTGGGCAGGTCAGCTGGGCTAGCGGCTGGGCCAGCTCCCCTGTCACCTGCTTCCTGGGACCCAGGGCAGCCTCACGCCACTCGGCACAGTCAGGTCTGCTCTCAGCTCAAAGTTCATCTCCACGTCAGTTGCCCCCAAGAATTTATGATTTTCAAGTGGAGCAGGCAGGTTCCTTCTACTAAGTCAGCCAGCTCTGTTCATCTTGGCAGGGCCGTTGTTTTTGAAGACAGTGCCCCAGGCCGTGGCCTGGATTACTCCCAGCTGGACTTCAACTCCATCCCCAAGTACAGGCCCACGGCAGAGCCTGACTCTGCTCACCTCACTGACTCGGGCCCTCATAAAAGGCTCCCCCGTGGCTCTCACAGGGATTTCAGAATGAACAAGCTAAGCTCCCCCGGGGTCAGCAGAGATAAGACAAGTACAGGAGTGACAGCAGTAGTGACATCAGTAGGAAGTAAAGTACAGCAGCTGCCAGGAGAGGTGACGAGGATGCTGTGCTACTGCAGTTACGACTAAGGTGGGGACCAGGGAGGCAGTGGTGGGAGGTGGGACCATCCCAGGGTGGGGCGTGGAGGCCTGACCGGGGAGGGGGAGCTGACGCTAGCAGAGGGGGCCAGCCAGGGTTTTGGTGCTGAAGAGAGATGTGACCAGAGTGCACTCTGTGGGAGCAGAGGGCCAGCTGAGCCCTCCTGCCTCTTCCCGGGAGGCCCCAGGACTAGTGTGGCCTAGGGCCCAGGAGGCGGATCTGCCTCTCAGCGCCCAGACCTGGGACCAGCAGAGTCTACCTCAGAGCCTAATTTGAGGGGACACGGCTTTGCAGCCCCACAGGCTGTGAGACCTTGGGAAGTTCCTAGCTTCCTTCATCTACAGTAACGGTAATGAAAGAAACTACTTAATGGGGACCCAGGAGGGAAAACTTCAAAGCGCTGCTCCTCTGCAAGGCTGGGCCCCGCCAGATAAATCCCAAACAGACCCCTGCCTGGACCCAGGAGATCCCCTCGCTGCCCACTCTGGCAACGGTGAGTCTATTCTTACTCAAAAAGGGGTACCCGCACACAGAGCTGGCTGCATTTCTTCAAGCTAAACCGGGACATTCCAACTGGAGCAGTGCAGTGGCTCTTTCCATACTTTATTCTGTGGCACGTCAGATTTGTTTGGGGTGTGAATTAATCATTTAGTTACAATTTCACTCCTTCTATTCTTCTCACGCCTCTGGAGGGCCTGTGATTTGTCTTTACCACAACTGGAGGAGCAGATCAGGAGTCCCTGCATCTAAACGGCAGGGCTGCACTCCCAGGGAAGGGGGCAAGCTCATCCTTCAGAACCACAACAGCTGCAGCATCCTGGCTGCCTCTTCCCCTAGTGGGGAAATGGACAAACAAGGAGTGAAGATGCTTCTTGGAAGGAGAAAGGGAGCTACAGGGCGGGTGGGGACAGAAAAGCACGGGACCCGGATCAAGTAAAGTCCTTCCAATTTCCATTTCTTCAGCCAGTCACCAAATCCCAGGAAAGCACTTCTGCCTCCCAAAGTCTGTGAAGGACGCGCCCCGGGAGAGTGAGCTTAAAAAAGGACTGTATCCCTTCCATGCAGCATTGCATTGCACACAGGCAGGAAGTCAGAAAACTACAAAACATGCTTTTCCATCCACCACATGTAATTCATGGCCTCCTCACGAGAAAACAAATGCTCCCTGAGAAGATTCCTTCCCTCCTTGCGCTCTGCCCAGGACTCCCAGAAAACCAAGGCACAGAGGGGCTGCAGCAGGGAAGGGCTGGACTTGGCTGTGGCTCTAATCGCAGCCCTCTGGGCCTGGTGGTCATGAGCAGAGGTGGACGTGCCTCTCGGAGCTCCTAGCACCTGAGGGCATGGCTTAGGACTTTCAGAAAGCTATAAGATGCTTGAGATGCTGTTTCTCAAAGTAGTACAGGCCACCTGAGGGGTGGTGATAGAACAGCTGCTGAGCACTCGCTATGCACTAAACACAACAGTCGGGTACGAGGTACTGCTATCTTTCTCCATTTCACAGATGAGGAAACAAGATTTAAAAAGTGATAGGTTCAAAGTCATCCTCGGACCTAGGTAGTCAGGTTCTGGGCTCTTAAATGCTACGCTAGGGTGCTTATTTAAAATGCAGATCCTAAGTTCCATCCTGGCCAAAGGTCCAGGGATCTGCATTTTGAGATGGTCCCTGGGCAATTCTTAGGCTGGTGTTAGACCTTCCCTGGAGCTGCTGCCGAGTAATCAGATGCCCCAGCCAGGGCCCAAACTTGGTACTGGAAGTGTCCAGTTACAGTTCACCTCCCTGTCTCAGGGGCAGGGCACCTCGCTCACCTAGCTTGGCACACCTACTGCCCTGTACAACTTGCTCGCTGAACGGGGGTGTGAAAGAACGAACAGTCCTTCCTCCTGAATACCCTGTGCCTGGTCAGAGAGCCACTGGGGAGGCAGATGAGCAGAAGCTTTTCAGACTAGGAGAGCCACAGGGGGAGAAGAGAGTGGTCTGGCTGAAAAAGTCCCCAAGCAATGCCCACCTCGAAGGAGGGTGTGGTAAAACTGGGGCTCAAGCATCGCTGGTACCAAGTGGACCAGCCTTTCTGAAGGCAGTAAAAATCGAGGGCTTTAAAAACATTCATATCTTTTGATCCTGAAATGCTACTTCCTGGAATTTGTCCTAAGAAAATAATAAAAGTTTTACATAAAAACATGGTTGTTGCTGTCATTTATAATTTTTTTTAAAAAAGTGAAAATGACCAAGATGCCTGACTCCTTAAGATAATATATCCATTTGATGGGATCTAACATATGACTACTAAAAATCTCACTTCAAAGAATATTTACTAAAAAAAAAAAAAAGAATATTTACTAACATACGAAAACAAGATGTTAAATTTAATAGATATAAAACTTGACATACATAATTATCTGAATTGTCTTAGAAAATGCATGTATATGAAGGATTGGCAAGAAATATTACAAAACATTAAAGGTGGTTATCTTTGGATAGTGAGATTGTGGGTGATACTTTATATTTTTCTGCATTTCTCAAAGCTTCTATAGTAAAAATGGATTGTGCCTGGCGTTTTTTGTAAAGCTATTAAGTTTTTAAAGGGAAATAACAAGTATCAACATTTAGACCGATTTTCTTCCATCCCGCCTTCTCCCACATCCTCTCTCCCTGGACTGGGGGGAACAGATGGACTCAGGAAGCCGCTTTTACACCTTCTCCTAACCCCTCTTATTACCTGGTTCCTGAAGGAGAACAGAGCAGCTGGGATATACTCCTTTTGCTTCTAAAGCAAAAATTTTCTAGGGAAAAATCACCACTCAAATGTATGCAGATAAACAACCTTCTTGCTAATGTTTCTCCACATCAGAGCACCAGTGACGCCAAGAACTCCTGCCGGGAGGCTGACTCACAGGCAGGTGCTGGTGGGACTGGGTGACTCTCCTACTGCTGATGTCAAATCCTATCAACCACATAGCAACCGGCTCTCCGTTCTCTCTGACGGAGCAGCGGGAAAATGCAGAGAAGCTAATGGGAGGAACAGGTGCCTAAGACTGCATTCTGGAAACCCTTCCCAGAACAAAGCACTGTGGCTGAAAGCTCCTTGGATTAGGATGTAAAATCAAACATCCAAAGAAGCCACTGCTCACTCCCATTAATCAGCTGAATGGGATCCAAATGCTGAATGAGCCAAACCAAGGGAGTCTGACCCAGAG